CGGCTGCGGCGCTCCGGTTCCTCGCGCAGAACGTCGGGGTGCCGCGCGACATGGCGCCGGCGCCGGCGGCGGCGCTACGGGCCTGGTTGCGGCTGCTGGTGGCGGCGCTGGAGCAGCGTGGGCCGGGTAAAGGGATTGGACGGCCGCGGCAGTTGGCGCGGAAAGAGTCAACCGGGCCGAAGAGGAGTACAGGCAGTCTTCCATGGCAGAGCGAAGCAAAGCTTTTTATTCCTTTCTGATCTTTGTGGTCTTTGTGCTTTTGTTTCATGCCACGCCCTCGTTCTCGAATCGGGTTAAACTTGTTGAGATACGGACATGTTGCTTGCTTTCACCCTAAGAATCCCGGCTCTCCAACACATAGGTTTGTTTCGGGTCACCCCCCTACTATGGAGAGTCCGACTCCTGCCATGAAGGGCCCAAGGATTCTTAGGGCCGGTTTGGTGGCCCACCTGAGCCCCACTGCCCTGGTGCCCGGTGCCGCCCCTCTCACCCAGGCTCACCCTCACCTTCGACTCCAAAGAGCTTTGGCCGAGCCAAACTGAGTCGGAAAAGCTTCGACTCACCTCGTCCGTTCGATCCGACACCACTCGACCCACACGATCCGTTGGAGCCGTGGTTTCACCCGTCGTGGTGGGCCGAAAGGAGCCCAGAAATCTGCAGCAACGGTTCGGTTGAGTCCCTTTGGTAATCGGGCCGTTTCCCTTAAGCTTGGAGTGCTACACACGCCAAGCTTTTCTACAACATTTGGGTGAATCATGTGAATGCGGCAGGGTCGGGGCAGGGTCGGCAGACCTCTTGAGAGTAGACTCTAAACGTCAGGTGGTGCACACCTGCATCCCATGTCACGGATGACCCAAGGGTGTAGTTCACCGATGCCTGAATTACAAGACATGTCGTCAAGCCCCCCCAAGTCCGGTTTTTGGCCAAATCTATCTTACAGGTCAGGAACGGGCCGCATTTTACTGGAGTTGGTCACACAACAGAAACACTCCACCGCCAGGTGCAAGAGCTCCAGGGCCGCAGCTGGCAGCGGGTGCTGCTGAAAGGGCGGAGGCAAGGCCGGCGATGGTCCATTTGGAGTGGATCAGCTGCAAGACATTTTTCTCCAAACAGTTTACCGTCTTAAGAGGTGTCATTGACAATTGTTATACAAAGAAGGACATACTGTCTCTGAACCTTATTGTTTCGATTTACTGTTAGGGGTTCTCAATCCTTTCTTAAGATGTGTCCGCCCTTTCTGTCACTGCTGGTCTACGGTGGTGTAATTTGGGATTGGTTTTCCGCAAAGTTACTACTAGTAGCGTGGCACTTGTTTCTACTAGCTTCTTGTTACTACTAGTAAGGCACTTGTTCCTAGTAGCGTGGCACTTGTTTCTAATAGCAAACAATGAACAGGTGGACCAAGAGGTCGACCTTTCCAGGAAAACGTCTCGGGAGTCAAACGTCGAGTAGAGCCGTGCAAGGACTAGGCCTGACTAACCTCGAGTAGTGCCGGTTGGAGGTGAAGACCAGGGGACTCAAGACCTGTCAGGAACTCTGCCAGGGAGAACAGTAGAATTGTTGTAGATCATGGTCTCCCAACCGGTCGCGTCCACAGCATGTAGACCGCTCGTGCCTTCCTGATTCCAGGTGCAGGACCGTTTCCGCTTGCATTGATGACCTTTTACTATTTGTTGGTTAATTAATAGAGGGAATACCCCCAGTTGTGTACCACCAATAGGTATATCAATGGATCAATGGTACACACCGACCCCTCTATTCTTCCCAAAGGATATCACTGTCCGCGTGTTTCTTTTCCTTTGTTTCGACCAACCCAAAACGGCGCAACTGGACCTCTATATCAAGCCGTCAGAAATGAATGGACCTTGGGTCGCCTCTTCTTCGTTGGTCCCTGCAGTTGTATTGGAGCAGAACAGGTTTCGTGGCTGGTGGGAATCTGCAGAATCCCAGCTTCACTCATTTCTAGTTGCTGTACTCCCCTGCAGACTAACATGGAACCCAGCTCGTTCGACCGCCGCGCGAACGACGGGCTGGCCCGGAGGGACTCGGTGGAAGCGGGTGGGATGAGGCTCATGGTGCCTTGGAGCAGCAAGGGATGAGGTGAAAGTGAGGAGGGCCACCTTTCAGTCACAGGTTGACTCCTCTGAAGAGGGAGGAGATTCTTCAAGTGACATGTCAACCTGCTATATGGGTTTTAAGGTGGTTTGGACCTGTTAGGACTCAAGGCCGAATGGAAGTTCCACCCAAGAAGAACCAAGCTGAAATTAACCTGACCTATCTTTGATCCAGCTGGATTCCCTTTGAGGAGAGAACAACACGTTCTCCCCCTGCCGGGGCCGTCCACTCGGAGAATGACATCTTTCTCCCACAAAGAATATGGATAGGGTCTGTGCGAACTTACCTGTAACAGTCAGTAAGCAATTATGATCATTTTTTGAACAAGGCCTTTACTAACCATCATCATCCACTGTTGCAAATAATAGGATGGACCCCAAATATGGAACCTCAACCCTATAGTAGCGATGGCCTCCAACCTACTAGTTGTGGAGGAACCTGGTCTTCCAGGATTGGGAAGCCCCATGTTCCGAAAATGCTCTGACACAAGGAAGGGATCCAAAAGGAAGTCCCCACAAAAACTCGATGCAGTCGAAATGCGTCGTGCGCTGCGTGCCTGAGTCAAATGCAGTCAAATCAGATGGATGATGGATGTATCAAAATAGGGAGACCTCCCACTCTGGAAGAATTGACCTAGTCCCAAACCCAGATGTGCCGTGGTCGGCTTGGCCAGCCACCCAAAGGCCGTCGCGCCGGTGTTTCGGGTTTCGGGCCACCGAACAAGGGGGGCGTGTCGTGCGCCGGGCGCCGGAAGCGGCCCCCGAAGCGGTGTGCATGACGTCGATGCTCCGTGGCACTGGTCCAACCTCTATGGTTCGATGGTTGAGACGTTTGACGGAGGGATTGGAGATCGACCACAGACGACCTTGCAGTTGTTGAAGATGACACCAGAGACTCTGCTAAGCAGCAGATAGCTGCATCACCAATGTAAGCTGGGGCCACGATCTACTGTTTGAAGGACACCTACGTGAGCTGGGCACTGGGCGCCTGTTCCTCCTACAGACACACTTGGCGAAAGAATTAGGCAGGGAGACTCTGCAAAGGGGGCAACCTAATAGCAAAAGGAACCCAAGAGCGATGGCCTCCAACCTAGCAACATACAGCTCCATACAAGTTGGGCACTTCTTCACGACTGGAGCCTTCGAAATGCGAGATGTGGCCGTCGAGCTACAGCCAGCAGTTCTTCCTCAGATATTTCAATTCAGACAAGCCAAGCACCAGATTTCTACAGCCAGGTCCTTGACCCTGCAACACTATGCTGGACTGACTTGCCAGAGTTGCTCCACCGCGGAATGTCAGAATTTGTGAACCAACGTGAAGCTACGTCTCCTGACTAGTTTTTCTTACTTGCGTTGCACGATATATATTTTCGTGATGACGCTTTCTACTCATTTTGTTTGGAGAACTCTCGTCCATCTCTCTCTCTCTCTCTTACAAAGCACGCCGACAGGGCAGTTGAGGAAGACTATGACCTCCTCATGTGGCCGTTGACGGACACATGGATAATGAGTGACACCTCAAAGACTGCGAATATAGCAGCCCGTATGCTGGAACCAGCTCCAGTATGCCTTTGGCATTTTCTGCTGGAATTAGGGACTCTTGATCCCACCTTTTTTGTTGTGTTGAACACTTGGGCCTCATTTTGCCTCGGGTGGTGAGAGCCTCCAGCCTCCGGGGAAAGGCAGGCCGAAGAATGGGACCTGGCCAGTGAAGTTTGTCTTGCCGCCAAGGAGTTCGAAAGTGGTGAGAACTAGCTCTGGCCGACAGTCCACTCCAAGTGAACGGACCTGTGTTCATGACCCAGTGAGAGAAAGGTGCCAGTCAGCACCCCTGGCACAGACTGCCAGGCTGCTTATGGCTGTTTTATGCTGATCTTTGTAGCATCACCGCACCTTCCCAGCTGCTACTTTACTATATTTTTCGGAGCGGTCCCGCAGAGATGAACACCACCTGCTTTGGGTTTGGGATGGGTCAGTGCCCTGACTCTTCGAGACCCTCAGCAGCTTGTCTCAGTGGAGGACTTCCGTCGAACGCCTCCTCGCCCCAGGAAGGCGTCTTGAGACAGCGGCCTTGGGCTGGGGCACCCCAGAGCGGTCGAGTTGGACCTCCTGTTGCAGGAATTGAAAAAGAACATGTCCAATCGATGGTGAACATCGCAGGGGTCAATTGATAGCGCTGTGATTCTTGTTTGGTGGTTTCAAATTGAGGAGCACTGAAGGCCATAGAGCTACTTTTGAAAGCAACCCTCTGCTGGCAATGACTCGTAGCTGGCAATGACTACATGAGTTCGATGCAACATCCGGGTGCCTTGAGGTCCGTTTGTTGTTTTTCTTTGCTTTTCTATGGTACGACTCAGAGGATACTGCAAAACGCCGCTCAAAAACGCCGCTCAAACAAGGGAGTCACCCGAAAAAGCGCTAGTCCTTTTATCTCCATCCCCCTTTTCCGGAGATTTCTCCGGAAAAAACTCCCAAACAAGACGACCTCTTCAGATGGTCACCATGCAGTGGTCGGGTTCGAAGTATAGGTCGGCTTTGTATGACTTGGATTCATGTAACTCTTCGGTCTATGAGGGCGTCCCTCTTCGGTCCACCGCGCCGACGACCCGACGACGTCTTTCCGACGACCCTCGCGGTCGCCGTCGGGACGATGGACGGGCTCCCGAACCGACGAAGCGTCCGAGCGACGAGAGCCCCTCAGACCAGGCTCCAAGCTAAGGGCAATGGCCTCCAAGCTAGTAGCGTCCTTTCTCCTAGTAGAGATGCCAGGAGCCCCGTTCGTAGCGTCCTTGCTCCTAAGAGCAAGGTGGAGTCTGTGGAGTCTTTTGTGGTCGGACCTACCGTCGCCGAGTGGTCGCCGAGATGGGTCGGAACAAAGATGCTCCAAAAACGCGCTCGACCTTCTCCCCATGTACACCCTAGAAACTTCACATGACAGCTCAACACCACCCCATGGTGGTAGAGGGAAACTGACATCGTCTTTCAAAGCTCCACGCCATCAGGTTCCATGACGGTTCCATGTCCCCCCCGTGAGCGACGGCTTTTTGCACACCTGGCGAAGTCTACGCCAGGAGGAGCCGGTGAAAGAACTACCAAGACCTGAGGAGTGGAGTGGAGCTGCTCGTTTTGGGGGATCAGCTTCCAACGCTTGGTATGTGTTGGTATCTAGACCCCCCAATACCCTAGGCTTCCTGACCCACCACGAAGTTAATAGGCTGAATCTCGAAGCACCATGGTGTTGCCAAGGATTTTACACTACAAACCAGGTGAACCATTCTTTTTATGGTCTTGGAATCTTGGAAGTCTAGGAAATAGATAAAACCATGCATGAACCAGTAAAATCCCTTTCAACATGCATTGGAAGATATTGGAAGTCTGCCACGACCTCCGGGACCATGCTTGGGGACCGTGTTGGGGGGTCTTTTGGACCTCTTTGTGGGACATGCGGACCCCGAGTTTGCACCCACAGTTTTAAGGACGCAACATCCTGGGAAGAACATCCTGGCGTTCTCAACTTGCTCCCGCCGTAGCGAGCTGCGCCGGAGCGACGGTAGTGAGACGGCCTCCACCGGGGCACCTTGGCATCCTGATGCTACCTTCGTAGCATCGTTCAGCATGGGAACCGGAGCAGGGTGGCGTTCCTTGCTGCTTCCGCGCCATCTTAGCGTTCGAGCAAGACACCTAGCGAACCTAGCCAGGTCGACACTTGGGAAATCCTGTTGCCCTACAAGCCAAACTCTTCATGTTTTCTTTTGAGTCTCAGTGTCCAGTCCAGTCCTGTCCTGTGCTCTCTCTCTCTCTCTGTCTCTCCAACCGCTTCACTCCTTCGAGTGGTTCAACAACCAACGTCCGAAGTTCGCCTCAGTTCGCCACAAACCCCTTCAAGTCCACCCCGCCGTTCGGAGGGGAGCCGTTCAGTCGGAACTGGAGCAGGACTGAAACCGGCCAAAAAGGGCCACCAGCGAGCCACCAAGGAGCCAGACTGGAGGAGTACCAACTAGCCCAACTGAGCTGCCGCAGCTAGCCACTGATGCCCAACTGCATGCCGCGCTCCGCGAGGAAGGTGGCTTCATGTTTTGGGTTCAACGTCCAAGGTCGTCTGTGACGGTGTGGTGGTCCCACATCGGTCCATTCATCGCCCAACATTCCGGGACAAGGTCGACCAACACGGCGTCGCGTCCCTTGACGCGCACGTCGCGTCCCGCACGCTACGTTCGGGTAGTATGGCCAGGAGCGCCCCGTTCGCAGCTTCATGTTCCTCGTAGTCATGCTGGGAGCGCCCCGTTCGTAGCTTCTTGCTACTACTAGCCATGCACTTGTTCCTAGTAGCCGATGCCCTTAGCTACCTGAGCCACGACGAAAGGCGACGACCTTGGTCGCACGGCCGGCCGTTCTTCGCATCGGCTTACCTAGGCTCGAAGTGCTGACGGAGCAAGTAGACGAGTCAGTGCGACCGGCACGAATCAATATATTTAAAGGATGGGTGAGACGGCCGGTTGCGACCTTTCACGCCTGTTTGGGTCATTGTAAAAGGTACACAGAGCGCAACATGATGCTGAGATTGTTGTCCGAACGTAGACCTAGAACTGCGGATTTCCACATCTCTCACCCACGAAGTCACATGCTGACATTGGATAAGTTCGGGACACCATCCACAGACACACGGGCGTTCGCCTGCTCGTTCATCACGGAAGTGGTCACCAGGAGCCCTGGGCGCTTGGATTGTGAGGTCTACGTCGCGGATGGACGGCGCGTCACGGCGGAGGCAGATGGACGGGGGGGGGCAGATGGCCAGATGAAGTGAATCTGTGGCCAGATCTGAATCTAGTGATGGCAGATGAAATCTGAATCAGATCGCAGAACCATTTCCTATGTAACGATTTCAAGCAAGCCATCTTGGAAACAACCAGACTTGTTTCTGGTTGGGACTGGGGTTCCAGGAGAATAACATGATTCTAGATTCAGATTTCCATGGCCGGCGTCTTTCTTTCGCACCTCATGACTGTCTGTGTGGATAGGGGGGCTTGTGGTTTGGTCTCTGGTGCTATGGCGACAATGAACTCTGCTTGCCAACAATGATTGGCCTGGCCACAGGCTGTCACCCCCCATTCACTCCATTGAATGGCGCAGGGCACAGGCCCGCCCACCCGATTTGGATTCCAAGCACTCATCCCGATGAGCGGCGGGAGGCGTATGATTGGTTCTGGGCGTCGGGTTGGCCCGTCCCTGGCTGGTTGGTGATCACTTAGCGTCTTTGCTCCGTTCGCAGCGATGCCCGAAATGCTCCGTTCGTAGCTTCTTGCTCCGTTCGTCACCCTAGTAGGATCCTATAGTAGTAAGGCCAGGAAGCCCTGTTCGCAGCATCCTTTGCTCCGTTCATCGGATCTGGGACCCCTCCATCTTTCCCGAACGGGTCGGATCACCTGGACAGACGGTCCCTGAAATACTCGGTGGTCCCAAGGAGTGACCCAACACCTAAACGCTGATTCGGAGTGAGTGGCCATCCGAACGAGTGAGCCGAGCCATCCCACGTCCACGGATTCTTCCAGGGGAGGGTACCATTTGGTACATGACTTGGAAAAAGGGAATGGGATCCTTGGCGAGGTCATGGTCAAGATACTCTGCCCGCGCGCGCCGCTGCGGTTTGGCTCAGTGCCATCCCTGTCAGGCAAGGGCTTGACATCAGAGATCTTTCCAAAGATTTGAACGATGGTGAATCTGCAATGCCCAAAACCATGTGAGGAAGATCACTTGTGAGCATTGCTGACTTGGTGCATTGCTGACTTTCAACTTCCAGGTCATGAAGCTCCGACTTCCAAGAGAAACCTCCACAACTGTAGCATGGTCGTTGCCAGCCTCATGTGTCAGAGTCCCCAGGACTCTGAGGACCTCCTCGCAGCTCTGGCAGATCCACTGCTGGGACGTCCCGATGACCTCGGATGCCCCGATCCGTCGAAGATCCGCTGCTCTGCTGCCTCGACGCCTGACACGGCGCCCAGCACGCCGCGGCTGGGTCTGGCAGGCCACGGAGCGGATGACCCGATTCGTCGTTGTACCAGGATGACCCGATTGATCATGTAGGCCCACCCGAATCATGTACCAGTGCACGGTCGTGGTGATGGTGGTGGTGGTGGTGGTGGTGGTTGCTGGTGTATCTTTTTTGCGTGGGATCAGATAGGATAAGCTAGCTGTTTCCAAACACCCTGATGGCTGAATTCACAGGCTGAATTCACAACTGAAGGATCACTTCGCATAGAAGCGTGTGCTTCTCATATGCATCCAAGTCATACTCGTACTTCGCATGTTCTGCTTTCTGCTGCTTGGCTGTGTGGGTAGTTTTAGGCGTTATGGGTCTAGCGGCACCTGCCGTTTTGGCGACGGCAGAAGATTGTTTCGCCCCGAGCCAAGCCCCAGAATCCCAGAAGGTTCGTACCATAGAAACTTGCTGGCTGCAAACTTCTTGCAAGTTTCTATGGTACGGACATCCAACGAAGGTGAAGAGCCCTTGATCATACATGGCATCGATGACGAGCTGCCGAAACGCACGGTTTCGGCCAAGAGCCTCCCTGATCCTTGGTTTTTGCTGATCCGATGATTTCGTTTTGATTTGCTCTGTCTTTCAACGCTCTATTTTCTCTTTCATTCAAACAACCTCACAGGAAAAACATCACAAGAACATCCGCCTGGCTTCGGGCTCTTCCGCCGCTTCCGCGCGCGCGCGCGCGTCGCACCGAGGACCCCGCGAGCCCTAAGACGGGCACGGCGCCCCTGGGCAGTCCCGCTCGAGTCCGAGCACCGGACGGAGATGGTGCCATGATGTCGGTGAGTGAAGCGAGTCACTGGGGCTGGGATGGGAGGGGAGGGAGTGAGAGTGATGGGATGGCTGGGATGGGATTGGAAAGGATATTGTAATGTAATGTAATGTAATGTAATGTAATGTAATGGTATGTATGGTATGGTATGGTATGGTATGGTATGGTATGGTATGGTATGGTATGGTATGGTATGTATGTATGTAGTTAAGTTATGTTATGTTATGGTAGTGTATATGTAATGTAATGTAATGTAATGTAATGGTATGGTATGGTATGGTATGGTATGGTATGTATGTATGTATATAGTTAAGTTATGTTATGTTATGTTATGTTATGTTAGTATGTATGTATGTAATGTAATGTAATGTAATGTAATGTAATGTAATGTAATGCAATGCAATGCAATGCAATGCAATGCATGTATGTATGTATGTATGTATGTATGTCGTATGTATGTGTTAATGTAATGTAATGTAATGTAATGTAATGTAGTGTAGTGTAGTGTAATGTAATGTAATGTAATGTAATGTAATGTAATGTATGTATGTATGTATGTCTGTATGTATGTGTGTATACAGTTACACCTTTTTCTTTCAAGATATGCATTCGGAAGAATGCAGTTTGAAACGCAGGCCCCATGCAGAATTAGTCATCTGCATAGTGGAAGCCTTTTTGTGGGGAGGATTCCACGTGCTGAAAACTCCCAAGGCGGACCCGTACTGGTCCCACTAGCACTTCGGTGCAAAACAGTGTAACCTGAAGGTACTCACAAGTGGCTTCTGCAGCCTTTCCTTGCTGGCCTGGATTTGAGGGAAAAAAAGGTCATCTACTTTTGAGGTCCATTGGTTGGCACAAATTCTGCTTGGATGCAGTTGCAACTTTGCTACTTCAGCATGATGGAATCTGATGATCAATCATAGAACGTTTATTGTTGACGAGCTTCTAAACCTTTGCTTGAAAGAGACACTCCAGAGTCCACGCCATCATCCTGGAATGCAGAGGGTTTGTGATTTTCAGATGTGTTCAGATACCTCAAGCATCCCGAATCAGAGTGCTATTGAGGCTTTACTTTGCTGAATTTCCTGATGAATGTGGGTCAATTCACCCTGCCCGTGCTCTTTGTTCGGCATGGTTGGTCTGCAGTTGTGCTGATTGTCATAGGTTCCATGCTTTGTGCCCATACAGCGCTTCTGATGGCAGACTCCTTGGTACAGTTCACTTGGCATGTGCCTAGCATCATTCTCACTTTTGTGGTGATTCCGCAATGCCTGGAAGAGTCAGCAGAAGAGCACCGCACGCACATCACTAGATTCGGTCGTACTTGTATGGAGAGATACCGTTAGAGCTAGGTTAATGCTTGAGTATTTACACTGAGTATCATTAGATTGATTAGCAAGTGAATCGACAGGTAGGAGATAGGCAGATGCTTAGGACAAGCAGCGGCTTAGGACTACCATTCTTCTGCCTAGATGTTTAAATGGTGCAATTGAACAGTGGGACACCTGAGGCTCATGCGCAGGGGTGTGCCAACACCAGACTATGCTGAGTTAGCCGTGGCAGCTGTTGGGCAAAACTTTGCGCTGTTGGCACATGCCTGTAGTATGACAGAGCTTCTCACCTACAACTGTATGAATCTCATAGCTCTGGGCAAGGGGGTGGTGTCGGTCTTTCCAATGCTCAGCATGGAGACTGCCATGTGTCTTTGTATAGCTATTTCTATTGGACTCAGTGCTGTGCCGGACCGACACTTTGCGTACATTGCGTTAATTGCAGCCTTGGCGATTTTGGCAGCAGAAGGAACTTGCGTTTTGGGCGGCCTCGAATTGCCGGAGTGGGCGCCTTGTCTCGTTTTGGTCATCGGCACAGAGAGACAGAGACAGAGAGAGAGGGCTCGCTGCACAAGTGTGATTCATCCTCCATGTTTTGCCATTGGGGACTCCATTGGGGCCATCACCAAAAAACACCACCATGAGAATCATAAGAAATCAAGAAAAAAAAGAGACGCACACGGCCTATGGACAGCGGTCAACAGCTCTTTCTTGGCCTTCAAACATGTGCGTTCATCGTGAGGAAGAGCCAGAGCTGCTCTTCAGCCACCCACTTCAGATCCCAAGTTCATTTGCGTTGATCATCTTCGCCGCTGGAACTCACCCCTTGATCCCTTGTTTGATGCACAACACTGGCACACGCGAAGACTTTCGCAGCTCGATCCTGATCGGTTGGGCAATGTTCACGGCCATCTCGCTGGCATTGGGAGGTGGCTTCTTCTACATTTACGGAGCCTTGTCTTTGTGAATCTCAAATCAATGGATCCACATTTGCTTGAAACCAAAAGCTAGGATATCATTTAGGTATATGACACTTAATGAGCGTCCCAGTTTTTCCTAACCTGTTTGCATTTGTTTGCCAGATTTTGCTCAGACCCATCAGCACTTGGCGTGAGGATTTTCGATTCAGCCGCTGATCACGGACAACACGGGCCGAGACTTATCGCTCAAGACCGTGCCGGGAGGTCGAGCACTGCAAAGAATGTCCGGGATGCCTGACTGTGAATGTTTGTAAGTCGCTGGTGGGTGCTTTCGGGGACATCTTCGATGCCCAAAGTGACTGATGCTGTACCCGCCGAAATGATGGGCTTGAACCAACCAACCAGCAAGCCATTTGGGGAAGGTTTTTTCAACGAACTCCCTCCAAAAGAGGATGTGCGCTCGCTTTCAGCTGCTTCTACCCCTCAGCCTCCGGGTGGAGGGTCCGGGTGTTTTGGGTCCCAACGATCCCGAGGATCTGGGTTTCAGTGAAGCTACTTGCTGCCATCGTGCCTGTGACGCGACCAGTGTCCCAAGTGATCGCAAGGAAGATTGGGATTCAACTCTCCGTTGGCAATGGCGGTTGGAGGCCATGGGGCGTTGGGCGCTTTTTCCCGTTGGCCAACGGGACCAGTCACGTCCAGGAATTGATGTTTACGGGCTTAGATAGCAGCAAGATGGGATGACCTCTCTCTGGGTATAATGAGTGAGATCACCCCGCCACTGTGAAGTAGTGAACCCTACCCACAGCTTCCATGCCATAGTTTCAGAGAGATTTGATATGATGTGTTATTTGAATTCCAACTTCCACCTACATCCTCGGTCCTCGTCGGGTCGTCGCAGTCTGGATAGGTCCTGGTCGTGCCATCGAAGGGAGCAGACTTCGTAGATGGCATAGCAGTTGGATAGACCCTCCCCCTGTGGGGGAGGCCTCCCCCCCCACCACATTAGATGGCATAGCTTTTTCGAACATGCATGGTTTTCAATATGTTTCTCGAGCAAGTTCGATGGTTTTTGACTTGATATGCTAGTGACTCGGAGTGTACATTGTTCAGTAGGGTTCTTTTTTCTCTGCCTGAGCTGTTGGTCTTTGGATCTTCTACCAGGTTTTTTGTCAGGTGTCATGACTTGCGCAGCTAGTCACTGGCACGCTCCCCAGAGAAAGGTCGATGCTGCTCACCCTTCCGACTTTGACCTTCATGCTCGTCAGTGCTACTTTCATGCAGAACGAAATCGCCAGGTTCGAGAGATTCTCGGTGGTGACAAACTGCAGTTTTTTTTTGTGTCTCGCATTTTTTCGCGGGAAGATCAGACACTCGACATTTGCATTCTGATCATTTTAAAGTCAAGTTGGGAAAGATACTCCCATTTATTTGACCTTATCTAGGAGTTCATCATCCTAGGTTTGATCGGCGGCATTGCAATGGGCTTCAATGCCCTGACTTTTCCAACTGTCACTTACCTCCAAATTTGTCGGCCAAAGAGGTTGGAGCAACGCATGAGTGCTTATGCAATTTGTGCATTAGGGATGGCACTTCCAGTGTTCCTCGTAGCATCCCCATGAATGACCTGTCGCATGTACCACGAGGCGCTGGATTTGTACAGATCACAAAAGTGATTCCTAAGAGTTGGGGACCTCGATGGACTTTGCTGAAACCGACCATTTTCGAGGAAGGAATGCGGCTCCCCAATTCTTGGGAAACACTTACAGGCCTCATCGGTTGTCGATATGTGTATATGTTTGAGTTTTGCAAGGCGGTCTGGGACAGCCAGGTTCTTGTAAGCTATGTCTAGGAAGAATCCAGATTTGCCTTGGAGGCTCCTATCTTTGGGGTATTTGACCTAATGAACCTGGAGTTTCCCAATTGCCTGTTATTGCACAGTGCGAACTGCTTTCTAAAAAGGGCGTGACTCCTCTGAGAGCACCTGCTACAATGATCTACGGCGTTGCACACAAATTAAGCGCAGTAGCTGGTTGCCTCATCGCCGGAAAGCTATCCAAAGACTCAACTGCCATATACGCCTGCTGCAGACCCGGAAAAAAAAGGACACAGCTGGCCGGGCCGTTCAAGGGTTACACTCAAGTTCGCCAGATGGTGTGGGGGTCAACTGAGGCACTCCGCAAATCCAATCGATTCGTCCGAGCGTTTCTGATTCTGACTCACACCGGGGTGTACTGATTGAGCAGACGAACAGATGTGGTTCCGCGACCATCGGGTCAACGACCAAACCCGCTGCAAACCCGCAGCAAACCAGCCCTTTGACCACGAAGCTTCGTGCGGATCGGCTCGGGTGGGGGGCCCACTGACGGTGGCCGAAGACTGACTTGGTGTTTTCATGTCACCAAGTCGCACCAAGTACCAGGGGCCCGAACCAAACCATGAAAAACAATGGTGTTCACATACCAAAAACCCGTTTTTTTTGCTATAGAAAGCCAGGTTTTTTGATGGTTTGTGGGGCCCCTGGTATGAGATGAACGATCGAATTTCAACTCTACTCTGACTCGCAAAGGATTTGACCTCCACTCCCCCGACCTGCCTTCCACTACGGTGGTCCGTGGATTTCCCGACGTTTGACGGACCGCGGACCGTGCTTTGCAGCGCGGACGGTGCTGGAGACTGGGGATGCTGTGCTGGGGCCCCTCATCAAGGGTGCGAACCTGGTGCCCCCGAAGAGCCCGCCAGGGCGAGTTGAGGGCACCGAAGGTGAGTTGCGGCGTCGAAAAAGCGTCTCCGTCGCTGCACGTCGCGTGTGCCGGTCAGTCGCCACCACCAAACGGTCCGCGTCGTGTGCTGTCCGACTGGACCTTTTGGGGCTCGTAGATGGGCGAGAGCCATGACTTTTCTCGAAAGGGTTTCGCTCTAAGCCCGGCCAAGATGGCCAAGCCATGCGTGGAACGCCACAAGGCATCTATGGCCAGGAGCCCCCAGTAGCGTCCTTTCTCCTAGTAGCGATGCCAGGATCCCCTGGTAGCGTCCTTGCTCCTAGTAGTATGGCCAGGAGCCCCTTGTAGCGCCCTTGCTCCTAGTAGTATGGCCAGGAGCCCCCACTAGCGTCCTTTCTCCTAGTAGAGATGGCAGGAGCCCCTAGTAGCGTCCTTGCTCCTAGTAGTATGGCCAGGAGCCCCTAGTAGCGTCCTTGCTCCTGGTAGTATTCTTGGGGGGTTTGGTCGTAACTTCTGACACATCACTTTTGAGAGATCTTGAAACATTCAGGTTCTACAACACTGCTTTTGCACGCAAGGGAGGTATGGTTTCTTTCAGTTCAACCAGTCCTAAAGACTAGTCATGCGGCCCAAAGTCATCGAATGGCATGGTACTGTAACCCAAACCTCGCCTCAGCATCCCCCAAGTCGATTTTTGATATGGTCCCTGGGTTGGAAGCCCCCCCAAGTGGAGCAGTAAAGAAGGCTCCCATGACACAACTCTTCCACTTGCACAAACGCCTTGATTTATTTCCTTCCTTGTCAGGCCGAAGTGTGGAAACCTGTGCGCATGGACGAAATGGAGCGCGAAAGGGGGTGTGAATCTGACGTGCGCAACGCATGCGCATGCGATCATTCACATCCAGGCCTTCCTTTGTGGGTGGTAGGGGTGCAACACTCTTGTCTTTTTGACTTGGATTCAATTACTCCCTTGCTGCCCTTGCCTCGTTCGTAATGGAAATGTGCCACTTGTCTAGTGGTACCTTGACAAGGTATACAAGCCCGCGATTGGGGAACGCCAGTGGTACGTGGGTGTTTTTGGCTAGCCCTGCGTTCTGATCATTTTCTGTCGTAGGGGGCCATCGGTCATTCATTCGACAGTGGAAGTCTTTGGTTGGTGGAACATCTCCAAGAAACGAACTTCTGGCAAAGTCACTAATTCTGAACAGGCTTTTGGGCTTCTTTTTCCCGGGCGATGTCAGTTCTGACAGATCTGACCCAGAGGATTTTCCCTTCAACAACTCGGCCACGACTGGAAGGTCCTTTTTGGTCCTCATCCGCTTCGTCATTGGTTCCACCACCGACCAGACCGGGGTGTCGACCGCCGTCGGGTGAGTCGTGCACGACTCGGCACGGGAGCAGCGCAGCGATCCCTTCGGTGAAGATCTCGATGTTTGAGGTGAGAAAGGCCAGGTATGCCGTTTTTCCATACCCAAGACAGACCGTGACCTATCTGGATTTTTCACGGAGGGCCACTTTTGGCTTGCGGGTGGCACCCTGAAGAGGACGACATGGCGACTGGAGTATCCCCGGAAATACTCACGCTCCGTGCCTCGAGCGCAGTCCCAGTCCTTTGTTCCAGACCAGTTTCACCCACACCCCGAAGCCTTCACTGATCTTCCGCTCAGAGCTTGCACTCAGAAGCTACCTATAAACATGGGACGGCGGGAAGACATTGGCATGGCCATTTTCCGGCTCTCACTTGCCCCTTTAAAGTGGACGGCGGAAATCAGCAGGCTGTCAACTGACAGACTGTCTTCGAAGTTCGAAGAGATCTCGTGATCCTCAAACCCATTCGCAATGACCAGAAATTGAAAACAACTTCCTGGCTTTACCTTTGCACGTTTCGGGACTGGCACATGAATTTCTGATCGCTTTGGCTTGGCTCCAGTAGCTCTGAAAAAAAAGACCCGCGAGAAGGCGTGTTGTCCACGTGGAAGGCTCACTGGACCGGGGGTCGTGGTGAGAAGAACAAAAGAAAGGGACAAGGGAATAAGAAAGACTAATATCATGTGCTACAAGATTATATACTGTACAAGTATAAGTTGTTATATTTGAACATCAAAGAAGAAGGATAAGAAAACTGAAGGGAAGGGCCTTTTTCAATAAGGCCCACTCTGAAGGGGCTTCCCGCCTTGTCTTCCTCACTCTGTTCAACGGTATATCCAAAGATAGCTTTGAACAGCCATCTCCTGGGGTGTCAACTTAGTAACTTAGTATTTATCACCCAGGCTTCTGGAAGAGAGTGACAACCTTTTCTCGTTTACAGAGCCCAGACACGTCTCTTAAGGGACACGACCTTCCTCGCCACGGCAGCCCTGTCATCGGACGGTGCGACGGTTGGACTTGCACAGCACTCCCGAATGGGACTGCTATGTGTTTCAGGATCTGACGTGGAGCATGGGTGACCCACTGAAACATGAAAAGGCATGTGACATCCAGCGGCGGCGGTTCGCCGCAAGGAACCACGGTGACCTCCTATGAGTCCAGTCCGGTCTGCCGTGAGTTCTCCCCCCACAAGTTCCTTCATGTCGACCGGTGAGAGGCGTCCACCCGGACGGTGATGGCCACACGCCCGAGCTGCGTCCAGGCCATGAGCAAGCGAAGCCTGGAAGAGGCACCACACCGGGAACGAAGATCGGAGATCCACGGCATTTGGTGGGAAACAGAACCCAGACGTGACGGGTTGCTGACTGGAATAGGACTGCCGAGAAAGGCCAGGGGTGGTGCCAGGGGGTTCAATGTAGGCATATATTCCAGTCCCATGGAGTGTATGGGGAAGAAGGGGTCTATGCCGGTGTCAATATGTTTTGGTCGCAATGGCCTCCACCCTAGAAGCGATGGCCTCCAACCGAATAGCTTGCTGGCCTCCACAGTAGCGATAGCGTGTTGGGAGGAGTGGGGTTCCCATATCTTTTTGGTGGAAATGCCCTTTCTGAGAACATTCTTGTTCGTGGCTTCCCCTCGTGCTCGCGAGTTCTTCAGATCGGGACTGCATGACGAACAAGTCACTGCGCCCCAGGTCGTGATCGTTGTTCCTTGCCGAATGCAGATTCACCTGGCTGTAGTGATTGGTGATTTTACCCTTACATGGTCAATCTCCCCATTTCAGGAACATGATCTATGAAAAGTATGAAGTGTTTGCCAATGACAACTAAATGATATACCTCCCCTGCACAGGACCACATGGACCCCCCCAAAACCACGGTCGGGTTGGTATTCGGAACATGGTCGAAACCACAGGTCAATTCTCCGGTTCTATGTGGTCCGTTTGTGGGGGAGTATCTGATATTGGTAGCCTGTATAATCCCTGGAAGCAAGACCCTTTTAAACAATACACTCCCTGAAACAATCATGGAAGTGGAACATAGGCCCCTGGAAGACTATTTTCTTCTACAAGTGAGGCCTGCCCAGCTTCCATGATTGTTTGAGGGAGGGTAATTGACCTGGTATGCAAAAGTGTTTGCTCCTTTTTCCGCAGCTTCGTGACTCCGGCCCAAAAGCTCTTTGTGGGGGACGGGCGAGTGTCGCTCTCTCGGGTGGGGGTGGACAGGGTGATCCGGGCGAAGCCTGAGCCTTTTCAGTCGGTGAAAGGAGGTGGCAGGGAAGAAGCACCTATCTCAGTATCACCTCCGATTTGGTCGTTCTGATTGGGTGATGGTGTGGGGTTCATTTTTTGAGTCCTACGCGTAGGCGACGTGGCTGTTCACAGTGTTTGATGTTTTTGCATGTATTTGCACTGGACTCAAGGTGTCATTTCACAGACTCTTTGTCCATTTCGCATCGAATTTTAAGGCTATCAACAGCCAAGGATAGTTCATGATAGTTCTGGTGGTTCAAACCGAAAGTCAAGACAGACCTGACCTTCATTTCTTCATGATTTGAATCGGACACGCACCTAATCTCAGTGGCCTTCCTGTTCTGCTGCAGGGCGGGACCACGGTGGGCCAGGCGTTGGGTTTCGGTTTGGTCAGTGGAGCGTGGGCGGAATTGGGTCCACGGCAGTCACAGGATGACCCAGGATGACCCAGGAGTTGTCTCAGAATCGGAGCAGTTTTCCGGATGTTCCACGATTTTCATAGGTGCGCATGGCCTTGCAGGCGAGATTTAAAAGGATAATGTTCCATTTCCTTTCTGACCAAGCGACGACGTAGAAAAATCCGGGAATGCATGGACGGCAGCTTCACGCATAGAGGACCCTGCTATTTGCCAAATGGTTCTATAGAAGTCCCTGCGGCATGGTGGATCGGTTTTGCTGGCCTTTTGGAACAAGTATAAACCATGTGGCTATGGTTGTGGTTCACCTGAATTGACCTACCTCTCCGTCCTGAAGGAAGAACGCGGTTTTCGGATGGGTCGGACTCCAGGTGGGTCACGACCCGTCGCCTCCATTTTTCCAAGGCTGCAAGCACAAAGTGAGGGGAAGTTATCAAGCACAAGGATCATTCGTTCGTGGAATTACCCATCCCCTGCTTGAAGATCATCGCATGTGGCGGGAAGTTCCGTTCAGTTGCGCCACCAGTTACGGCACCGCGCACCTCGCTGGTGGTTTTCGCACGGGCACCCGTTCGTCGTCTGCGCCCTGCGGTCTTCGCGCACGAAGACGACCGCGGATGGACAGAACTCGACGTCGGCCGAAGGGGCGAAGGGATTTTCCATCCCAGCCATCCGGGGTCCCACATGGGACCGGGATGGCGCCTCCGGAAGCTTTTGCGCTCCTTCATGGGAGGTATCAAGAGTTGGTGCTTTCGTATTTCCGATCGGATCACCATAGATCACCCTATAGATCCTATAGGAAGCAACAGTGATATGAGTTGAAGACAAGCGCGTTGTAAATGTAGTAACCATATCTTGGCCAACATGCGCATTCGACACCGTGACACAACACGCTCTTTGGTTTGTGGCATATCGGCATATCAGAGGGACCCGCGCTTTTTTGGCAGATTCTTAGGTAAGTCATTTCCACCAGTACCATTGGGGGGACTCTCAGTTTTTTTTTTGCGATTTAATCCATCAGTTCTTGATGAGTCAGTTCTTCTATGCTGCAGGGTTTCAGTCTGTTGAAAACGTCGATGTTTCTTCAAATGTTCTTAGGTGGTGTTGCTTGGGAGTCCGCTTGACATGCATCCTCCACACTAGTTCAGAAGGAATATGATGATGATGATGATGAGGAGGAGGAGGAGGAGGAGGGAGGACGAAGGATGGATGATATGGATGATACGGATGATGAACGTCGATTGAACGCTGATGGATGATTTCTGCGGTCTTCAACTTCACCACCGTCTTCCAAGTGCCTTGCTCCTTCAGCGGATCTTGGTTCGTCGCCGAGCGTTTGGCTCTTTCCCCGCTTGGACCACCAACCTCACTACCGCTTCAGGGGCCCAGACCGCCCAAGGCAGGCGGTGGGAACCGGCGGGGCGGCAAGCCGCCATGGGTTTACGCAGGAGTGTCCATGGGGGGCGAACTTGGCTCCCAGTAGTCCACGAAGCAGCAAATTGGGGGATTTGTTGGGTTCTTGACACCACCTTCAGCCGCTGGTGATTTGGACACTGGAAGCCCGTCCGACCCCGCCAGAACCGCACGTACGCGGTTTCTTCCCTTCCAATCACGGTGGTTTCGGAGTTCGTGCGGATGGAGTTGCAGAGAATCTGAGATGGGAGGAGTTCGCCTGTAAAGCCTACACCTTTGGGACTGGGGTGTGGGTGCGAAGGCTTGAGTCGCACTTGTTTCAACGGGGGGGACGTGGGGGACGTCGTGGGTGTCGGGTCCAGTTAATCCCGAAGCCCGAGGAGGTGCGGCAGGAGCCCTGTGGAGTGTGTTTTTCACTGGACCTGCACGGGTGAAACATCAAACTATGGCACCTTTGACAGGTTCACTACGCGCGGCGCGACACGCCAAGCAGCTGGGACAACTCGTTGTTTGGGTCGGGATGGTCATACGCGAACGCGAACGTTTTCTTGAGCCGACCTGTAGGCGAACGCGAACGCGAACGCTCCGTTTCCAGGCATATAAGAACAATGACTTCCTGAACTCCACCGAGGCACCTGGGAGACCCGCCGCGGTCCCACGGCGATCAAGACCACGCGGGTTGTCTCGGTGGTGTTCCTTCGCACGTCATGGGTTGGCATTGCGCTCTGCCAGCTCTGCTGCATGCTATCAAGAGGCGCCAATCATCGACGGTAGCCAGGGTTTTCGACCGTCAGATCCCCAAAGCTGCGAGTTAATTAGTCTAGTTTGAGCATCCAGACCTTTTCCAGTTTCCTGCATCCAGGTCAGACTGGGTGAACTGACCGTGGACAAGTGGACAACACATGACTTCTATATGTGGATGTGTTTTTTTTTCTCCTCGCGGTTTGAAAGCAAGTCGAACCCATCAAGTCGTTTCCCCCTGCGGTCATCCGACGTCCGGCTCTCCCCATCTCTTTTCACCGGTGTCTGGGGCCCCGCGGTCGAAGCCTCAGGACCTGGGGGGGGATCAAAAGAAATACGACAGAGGATGATGGCAACCTCCTTGTCATATGATTTGGAGGGGGGGTGGGCGGCTCAAAGCAGGAGTGCAGTTGATATACAAAACGTATTGCTCATCATTTAAACATCGCTATTGTGTTGGAGGCCATCGCTAGTAGATTGGAGGCCATTGCTATTAGGCTGGAGCCCATCGCTATTAGGTTGGAGGCCATCGCTATTAGGTTGGAGGCCATTGCTATTAGGCTGGAGCCCATCGCTATTAGGTTGGAGAGGCCATCGCCGCTATTAGGTTGGAGGCCATCGCTATTGGAGGCCATCGCTAGTAGGTTGGAGGCCATCGCTATTGGGTTGGAGGCCATTGCTATTAGGCTGGAACCCATCGCTATTAGGTTGGAGGCCATCGCTATTAGGTTGGAGGCCAGGTTGGAGGCCATCGCTATTAGGCTGGAACCCATCGCTATTAGGTTGGAGGCCATTGCTATTAGGCTGCAGCCAATCGCTATTAGGTTGGAGGCCATCACTATTAGGTTGGAGGCCATTGCTATTAGGCTGGAGCCCATGGCTATTAGGTTGGAGGCCATTGCTATTAGTATTTGTTGCAGGCCCGGCTCATCCGCATCATGTGCGAGCTGGAAGAGCCCAAGGTGACGCGGCTTTCGCGCGCGAAAACAACACGCTTTTGGGGTGGCTGGTGACAGGTTCAACCTTGCGCCCTTGTCTTTCGCCGGTCGGGGGAAAGATCGGAGGCCATTGTTGACCATAAGTCTCCGTTTTTTTTTTGATTGTTATGACATGTTATGACCAGAGCTCGATGGTTGAAGACTTGTACCACTTTGCTAAAAATTGCGAAAAGTCTTCACATCCCCTAGATAGGAACTTACCAGCCAGAGGTTTCCGTGGAAGCCGGGACTCTGTAGCAGGGCTGCCATGCAAGAAACACAAAACCACCTCGCTCCAACTTCCACCTCCCTCAGCGCTCGCAGCCGCGGATCCGCCCGTCTCGTGGCGTCAGCACGTCGGTTTCTCCCGTGACCGTCGCCGCGAGCGGCGGCGGAAGGAGCGGCGACTGAGGACCGGTTACGCACCGAGGCGGTGGACAACATCGCCGGAACCCAGACAAGACCGCGGGGACTGAAGGGGGTGACACGCGGAGGGTGATGTCGTCGAAGAAAGACGAAGATGGGGAGGGTGTTGCGTAGGTTGCTGACAGAAGATGGAGGGTGGTCCCCAAGCTGGTGTCCAATCCAAGCAAATAAAGGCACTTGGCTTCAGGAACTTTGAGATCTTCGATGGATTTCATATGATTTCATGGAGTTTAGCAGTTTTTACTCTCCAACACCCTTCTGACACCAGCCACCGTAGCCATATCAGCTGCCTCTTCGGGATCCAACTCCATCCTTCCTCCTTCGCTCCAAAAGGTCCGATCGCTCCATATCGCTCCCAGTGCCCCCCCCCGAAATCTTCAGGAGAGGTTCATAGGGTATGCGACCCTTTTCAGAAGAACTCCACTCACCTGCGGGGGTACCCACCTTGGGATCGTCGGGTCTGCGAGGGGTGCCGCCACCCGCCACCCGTCGCGGACGGTCCGCGCTCCGAGGTGATGTTCTTCGGCTCCGCGCGGGCCAAGCCAAAGGACCAATACGAGGCACACCGCGCCGGCCGACGAAGGCATCGGTGGCACCGGTGGCACGCGGCCGGTGGTTGGGCTTGTCCGGTGTCCGTCGTTGAGGGTTTCGGGAGGTTTTGGAGAAGATTGGTTGGAATATATGGCTTTGGATTGGGGGATTTCTGGGGTGTTTCAGTCAGCAACACTATAGGCCAATATGGGGTGTGCAGGGGCTGGTTTTTTTTCCAAGTATCCTCAAAGAGCATTGATACCAAAAACATCCTGAACAATTCAAGAAGGCTTTCAGGAAAACGCTCAGAGCGATTCATGAATTGGGTGCGTTTCTCCTTTTGGAGAAACATGCCCATCATCTCATCCCTTCTCAATCCCATCGTCCCTTCTCACCTCGTCTTCGTTCTTCGTTCTTCAGGCCGCCGTGAAGGAGGCAGAGGCCAAGGTGGCGGCCAGCCACGGTGCCCGGGACCGCGCGCGGGCCGGACTGGCACCGTCGCCACGGTCGCCTGACTGATCGACACCCGGTGGACCAGCTGCCACCGCCTCAGCGAACTGGAGTCCTTACTCAGGAGTTCCGTGGGTTCACCTGCAATACAACACCCAAACGAAAAATATGGGACACCGTGCCACTATACTCCTTTTTTTGGGGGGAATTGGGGACACCCCACACCAATCCCAAAGGTGGGGACTGCTTGGTGGGGTTCCTTCTTTGCGCAGAAGAACCGTCGGCCACCCATGGCCACCCCCGGGCCACTGGGCCTTGCAAGAGGAACTCTCATGGAGGTACCATCAACATCCGCGAGGCCTTGTTCGGTGATGTCCGACAAGAACGAACTGGTGGAACCATTGGTCTGACTGAAGATGAGTGGGCCCACCACGCACTCCAGGCTTTCTGCTGCCAAGACCATTGTCCTTATCACAGAGAATGCGCAAGAACATGCCCAATCCAGAGAACTTTGCCAAAGGCCACCCTAAGAAGAGACACCCGGATTACATCAAGTATTCCAAGTCTACTATCCCAAATCTCCATCTTGGTGGCTCAAGTCCAAATCATTGGTACCAGGACCCTCCTGTCGGGGTGTCCAATGGACTACCCCAGACTACCTATAGGCTTCCAGACAGGGCACCCCTTAGAGGGTCCTGGTATGTAACGGTGTTTGGGGGGGGGTGGACTGCCTCAACATGACCACCTTCCCGGCGCCGAGATCCGGGCGACGCGAAGCTGCAGTCGGCGCTGACGCGGCTGAAGAAGCAGGAGTTCCTGGTGCGGATGCCTCAGGGGAACAGGTGGTGCGATGGGGGTGACCCAGCGTGGCTAGGGCTAGGGCGAATTACAGCGTGCGCGCTTGGTGTTTTCTGCCATGGTCAGGCAGGCGTGCTGGTCTAACATGCTTGTTTTTCTACACTCCGCCCTGCTTCCTCGCACTCCCTCCTCTCCTCCTCCTGCCATGTCGTCATGTCACAGCGAGTGCCAGCACACCGTAGAGAGCTCCAGATCAGTCTGGGCACGTACGGACCTGCACACCATCGAGGGTGCCAGAAGATAGGCCAAATAGAAATGCCAAGAGATATGCCAAGTTTGAACGCGAGAAGATATGCCAGAAAGAGTGTCAGAAGATATGCCAGACAGAATGCCAGAAAATATGCCAGACAGAATGCCAGAAGATATGCCAGATAGAATTCCAGACAGGATGTCAGAAGATCCGCTAGATAGAATGCCAGAATGTATGGCAGATAGCGTGCCAGAAGACATGCCAGATGGGACGCGACAAGATATCAGAACAAATGCCAGAGGGATGTGCCAGTTAGAATACCAGAGAAGTTGCCAGAGGATATGCCAGTTAGAATGCCAGAAGTAGATACTGTATGCCAGGTAGAATGCCAGGTGACTTGCCAGAAAGGACATCAAAAGATATGCTATCTGCTATCTATTGCCATCTAGATTGTTGGTAAATTTGCCACATGGAAGGCCAAATCATATGTAAGAAAATGTCCGAGCATATGTCGGAACAAGTGGCAAGATTGATGGCAGAACAAATATTGGAATACGTGGCGGAACACATGTCAGAACACATATTAGAGCCGAAGTCGGACCACATGTCACAGCACAGTCAGACTTCACGGCCAGCTGCCAAAACACATTCCAACACGGAGCACAGTCCAAACGATTCCCAGCCTTGATGATGGATGATGCGTCAGAACACATAATTACCAGACTTGATGCCAGAATACGTGAACATTGTGGCAATGCGCGTGTCACTATTGATACCTGTGCCCTGCCTTCCAAAATAGCCTCTCAGGCTGGGGGGGTCGCTCGAAGTAAAGCAATTTTTCAAGGCTTGGTTAATGAACTTTGGTGGGAAACCTTTTGACCCAAACTGAGGCATAGGATTTGACAGGTCTTGGCTCAAGTATGCTCAAGTGACGTTGAAAAACTTTATAGTTCTATGTTGACGATGGCGGTGATGTTTGTGCTCAAATCGGATAGACATGTTCCCAAGTATCCCGAAAGAAGGGACTTACTCTTCAATTTGCGGCGTCGCCATGCCACCTTTGCCTGGTAATGCAGAGTGTTGTCCACTATGGGCCTGGTGTTGATTCCCAGTCCCAGACTCGGCCTGTCCATAGTGGGTGGACAGCGGCCACTTGACATATGAGGTGGTTCCCTCAAAATTACACCACCGTAGACCCCAAACAGTTTGTGTTTTTCAACATCGAAACTAGAGCTTGGACAAAGGATTGCGCAAGGCAGAGGCGGCCACAGCAGCCCAGAGCTGGGAGACAAATGTAAAGGGTTGCAAGGCAGAGACGGACACAGCCGTACAGAGCAGGCGGACATATCTTAAGAAAAGAATTCAGAAGCCCTAAACCTTTTGGGGAATTATTCTTCAAGTGCGAACATGATGCTGGTCATGCTGCTCAATCAGCGGGGAGCTGACCACGTGAGGACAAGAAACAAAAGCATGAGGAGCGAAGGATGTGACATGAAATTGATGTTTGGGCCTGACGTATGCCCTCCGTCCCAACTGAACAGAGAGATCGCTGCCACGCCGCCGAAATCCAATCCGGTCATTCATCCAACGCTTGCCCGAAAAGGAAAACAAAGCTGAGAGAGTTACACACTGCGGCAGGAATGCAACCCCGGAGACAGTCACGCACCCATTTCAAAGGAGCAAGAACCTTTCACAGGTGAACCTGTTCCAGCGGACAGGGCAGAAAACACCAGTGCAGGCACCAAACCTGAAAGACAAAAAGAAAGAAATCACATGGGAGACAAATGAATAGAAATGCTACATGGCCAAAAGAGATGTGGTAGACAAATGAATAAAAATGCTACATGGCCAGCAGAAAAGGGCGGACACCAGCAGTGACAGATCCGCGAAACACATGAATAGAAATGCTGCATGGCCAGCGGAAAAGGGCGGACACCAGCAGTGACAAACCTGAAAAACAAATGAATAGAAATGTTGCATCGCCAGCTGAAAACGGCGGACACCAACAGCGACAGACCTGGGAGACTAATGAATAGAAATGCTGCATGGCCGACGGAAAAGGGCGGACACCACCAGACAAATGAATAGAAATGCTACATGGCCAGCGGAAAAGGGCGAACACCAGCAGTGAGAGACCTGGGAGACAAACGAATAGAAATGCTACATGGCCAGCGGAAAAGGGCGGACATCAGCGGAAAAGGGCGGACACCAGATGGCCAGCGGAAAAGGGCGCGAACCCGACCGGAAGCACTCAGCCTGGGAGACAATGAAAAGAAGTGGGAGACAAATGAAAGGAAGTGGGAGACAAGCCA